TTCTTCTGCCAAATCAAGAGGCTTCAGGACAGCCTCCAGCTTATCTTCTCCTTTATGGATTCCCTCACTTTCTAGCTGTCCTTTTTTCTCGTCTACAAGCTCAAGAATTTCATTATTTAGACCAAAAATATCTCCAGAATCAACAATACTCTCCCCTTCGCTTGTTAAGGCAGGCAACCCGTTCTGAACACCCTCTACTTCTTCCAATGGAACCAATGCAGAATCCTCCTCAGTCACTGTATCCTCACCATTATAAGCCCTTTCAGTGGAATCATCCCCCAGCAGTAACGTAGAATCATCATCAGCCAACACAGATGTTTCTTCTCCATCTTCTTTACTTCCACTGGAACTTGGAACTGTCACGACATCATCCATACCTTGGCTAACGGTAGTTTCAGAAACAAGGTTACTGCCAGTTAGCATACTGTCAGCGAGGACACTAAGTTCATCAGTATAAAATTCGTGCTTCACTTCATTTTCCACGAGCTTTTCATCCTTCTCTGAGCCTCCTCCATCTAGGGCAGACTGAGGATCAGCAATTTTCTTCCCGTAGTCCGCGAATTTGCGAGCTGACTCTGTCAATTCACCACCAACTTCATTCGGGTCTGCATTCGATGAAGTTGGCGCAATCTCCCGATCACCATCGCCAGAACCAATTCCTTCACTATCCAGAACCTTCAGAAGCGCCCCAGTCCCACTGACGGCCCTCCTGGACTTGATCGCAGCAGCGTGAGGCGTGCGGAGCGACCGAGAAGCAGCGGCAGCTAACGCCAGAGCTGCACCCGGCTTGACGTTGGATCTCACCCCGGCAAACAGGGAAGGCAGCGGCCGCGTAGAAGAAGTAGAAGTAGAAGGAACTTTCCATGTTCGATCACCGGCCAACAAGCTAGCCTTAACCTGAGCGGAGGAGTTCGACTTGAATTGCTCGGATTTGTAAGCCGGGCCGAGAGATCGCGCACGATTTAAGGATTGCGATGGCTCCGCCAGGTCACCAGAGCCGAATCTATCTGGTGGGCGATGCAGACGAGAAGAGAGAGAGGTAGGGGATGAAGGAGGGGAAGGAGACTTGGAGGAATCGGAGTCGTTGAGGATTTCATCGAGCGACCGGTGAGGGAGGGGATTGAGATCATCGTCGTCGGAGTCGGAGATTGAGTGTAGTTTGAGGAAGGAGTCGATGTCGAGCTCCATTTGACAGTTCCGAGCGCTGGGTTTTTCGTCCCGGTTATATCGGGTTACGGGCGCCCGTGCTTTTTATAGAAGACCCGCCAAATGTTTCTTTTATTTTCCGGGCTTTGGCCCAATTTTTAGTCTCGTCATCACTCATCACCGCCAAATCAACCGTTTTTTTTTTACCTTTTTTATCTAGAAATAACGGGATGGGTTACGATCACAACCCCCAAGGGTTGTGAGATTCACAACTCACTTCCAAAGCCTGTAGATGTTGTTGATACTCTAACCTGTGTACCTTACCGTGTGTCTCCCTCTTCTCACACCAATGAAGATGGTTGACGAACCATGCGTTTGTTTTCCAGAATGTCATCTCAACAATTGCAGAGATGGCGAGTGCACGACATGCCCTGTAGACGTTATTGATACTCTCGCTTGAGTTCGTTGTGGCAATACCCCATTTGGTATCTCCGTCCTTATGAAACGTCCACAATGTTAGGTCATGTTCATCAAGCCACTGCGCACTTTCAGGGCATAGCTGACGGATATTCTGCATCTTCTCTTTAAATTTTTTCTCTTGGTAAGCGACAGTTGATGAATATACGAATAAAAGCGTAAGGTAAACAAGGATTCTGTTTTGAGCAATACAAGTACACTCGTAAGACTTTTAGGAGAGGTATACATCTCCTTAGAAACACAACCTGTTTGACAGAAAAAGGGGGGATCAGAGGATCGCTTAGAACCCGATTTTCTCAGAAAATGGGAGGATCATGATGATCGCTTAAAACCTCATTTCCTTAGGCATGCATTACTTTATAAAGAGTCTAAATAAGTGTTGTATTGTATTGATTTAGTCCTCGTTTTTCCAGTTAACAAAAGATATAGACCAATGAAATAGAACTCTTACCGATCCACCATAGACTATCAGCAAGCTTCTTTCGCTTGAAATGATGGTTCCAGATGCTCTTGAAATGTCGTATGCACCATCTCTGTGACCACTTCCAGGCTGAATCCAAGCCTAAGATGGCAGCCCTTATACCGGCGCGACGATCAGAGATGATGGTTAGGTTCGTCCGCCTGGTGACATGGAGTTGAATTTGTCTGAAGAACCATCCATAGCTATCGGTATTCTCTCCCTCGACAATGGAAAAAGCTAATGGATATAATGCTCTATTTGCATCTGCTCCGCTGGCGATCAGTAGAGTACCCTTGTACTTGCTGGTAAGGAATGTTCCACCAACTTGAATCACAGGAACACAGAATGGAAAACCATTGATACATGGCTTGAATGACCAGAAAAGACGTTTGAAATGGCGCTTGTTACCGGGCACCGGCGACTGAATTTCTTCATCTTGGTAGCGAGGAGAGAAAATGGTGTCAGGGTTAGACACCTCCATAGCCAAAATCAATATGGGAAGGAATGCATATGATTCTTCCCAGTCACCAAACACGACGGTCATTGCTTTATGTTTTCCATGCCACGCATTATTGTAGTTAATGATGTAACCATAACGACTAGAAATGTCGGCGATGATGGTTTTAACCTTCAGGTCGGGCTGCTCCTCAATTTGATGTTTGATAGCTGCGACAACCACCCTTGATTTCAACTGTCGATGGCCTAGGGATGTTATTGATGACACATGTGTGTGTGTGTGTGTGTTAACCGCACGAGATACGACCCAATGGCCGACTCTCTTGCTCTTGATGGCCCGAACCCTAGCTTTGCATCCTTCATTTTGATTTTTGCATCTAACCACCAGCCTCTTCGTGTCGGAATGGGCTGTGTGCCATTCAAAACTCTGAGTCATTGCTTCAGTGGCAATAGTGTGTCGGACCTCATTCTTCGTTGCAAATTGTTGGCCCTTCGTAAAGCCAGTGAGTGGACCCCATACTAGCACCTCTGGCAGGTCCATGTCGACATCAACATACCAATCTTCATTTGGAATGTGATTGTAGTACGAGATAGGTACACAATCGCGAGGTACCTCATCATCGTCTGCGTCTGAATCTGGACCGGAATCATCAGCACCTTCTAAGGGTGGGCAATCGGTTCGGTAAACCCGAACTGAAACCGAATTAAATAGAACTGAAACCAAATAATGCTATTCAGTTCGGAATTCAGAAGAAAAATATGGATATTTCGGAAATCAGGGTTCTTTCAACCGAACCGAATTTCCGACCGAAAAACCGAAATACTATCATTGCAAGCTCCAAATGGTGCATTTTAATGTTTGTAGTTGTTTTTATACTTAAATAATCTAAATATTTTATGACTTATGTGTTGAAAAGTTTGATTTTATTGTTGATTATGCATACAATTACATATTTATTATTTATATTAGGGGTGAAAAATAATTTAAAAGTGAGAAGATACAAGTAGCCTCTCAAATTCGGTTTGAGAGAATTCGGGGACCCGATATTCATAATTTCGATTCGGTCGAAACCGAACCGACCGAATGCCCACCCCTAGCACCTTCAAGAGGATCGAAGCTGTCTGCACTGACATCGCCTTCCTCTTCTTCAACCTCAAGGTCACTAACTGGACTTGGATTGACCTCTTCTTCCATCTGATGATCATCATGAAATGCACCTTCACCAGTTCCGTAATGGTAGTTGTGGTAACTAACGCCGCTTTGGTATAAGTTGTACTCGGGTTGGTACTGGTAGCCTGCTTGTTGGTTCACATCCGCTTGTTGAGCTTCTTCTTCATATGATGGGAAGGATTGATGATGACCTCCAGTTCCATCATGATACTCCTGCCTCCAACTCGAGTCTTGGTACTCCTGATGGGGATGATCTTCGTATAATACACTCCCACCGTGGATACCAGATGTTTGGCCATCTCCAGAATGACCTACACCGCCTTCGACCGTCTCAGTGTAAACGAACATCTCCGCTTGTTTAATCTTATTGGTGGTCAAAAATTGGACCATGACATCAACGTCCTCCTGAGTGGTAATGGGGAATTCCTCATTCCACAATGACCCGCCATGTGTGTTTGGATATCGATACTTCATACGATCAACTCTTCTAGGGTCATCCATGCAGGTAACCTCAATGCACATTTGATGGAGCTCTTCAAGCATCGGTCTCGTACGAACCTTCATTTTATAAAAATTGCCACACACGTAACTTACACCATTTTCGGTCTCTTCCGTGTAACCATTTCACTGCAACCCAAGCGTGAACTTTTGGAATGCCATTTGCAATAAAACTGTAATTAAGTTACTAACATAAAAATCACAAATGACAATGAAAAGTAATACAAAATAAACTTACGAATTAACATCAATCGCAAAAACTAAATAATTTAAAGGTGCACAACTTAAATTCGAAGAAGAAGAAGAAGAAGAAGAAGAAGAAGAAGGAGTGGAGTGAAGATTTTGAGTTTTCTGGACATGTCTTTTATAGGCAAATTTTCACTGGAAACCCAGGGGGGGAGCGGTTTTAGTCTGGCATGCAGCCCCCACCCCTGCAACCTCCTGCATGCCGACATGTCGGATGTCGGGTGACGAGGCACAAACCGCTGGAGGGAGAGCGGTTTATGTGTCGACATAGTAAACCGCTCCCAGAGGACGCGGTTTGTGCTAGGGCAACCATGAAAAACGCTTATTCGAAGAGAGTTTTTCCCAAAAAATACAAACCGCTTATCTACCAGGCGGTTCCATGGTAAACCGTCCTTAAGTGGAGCGGTTTTTAATAAACAGTGATAGATTAGGAATTTTTTCGGAATGAGTGATATTTTTTGTAATTTTTTATAAAACAGGGTAGTTTTGGATTTTTTCCATGTAATTAGCCCTAATTTAAAGTAAGGGATTTTGAGAAAATGAAAAGTAAAGTACATTTTATACCTGTAACCCCAAATTTCCTGCCCTACTTCATAGAAAGCCGCCAGTCCGCCACCGATAAAAGCCGTGCTGCGTCGTGAATCCGAAACCCTAGCATCCGGAAATCCGATTCTCAAACAGCGGCAGCAATGGTGTGCATAAGAAAAGCGACGATCGATGACCTGTTGGCGATGCAGGCTTGCAACTTGCTCTGCCTTCCGGAGAATTACCAGATGAAGTATTACTTCTACCACATCCTTTCCTGGCCGCAGCTCCTCTACGTTGCTGAGGACTACAATGGCCGGATCGTCGGCTACGTGCTGGCGAAGATGGAGGAAGAGACGAACGAGTGCCACGGGCACATAACTTCTCTCGCTGTTCTCCGCACTCACCGAAAGTTAGGGCTCGCCACTAAGCTCATGAGCGCCGCTCAGACTGCCATGGAACAGGTTTGTCTTCGATTGACTGTATTTTGGGGCCTCCGTACTGCTGAATGTGCTTTCTGTGGTGATGGTGTTATTGATTTGTCCTTGGAAGCCTCGAGTGATGAGTGATTTTTTTTTTGCGTGATTATGAAAACAAAAGAACGAGATATGGCTTGCTTAGTTGAATATCAGGAGAATTTTATTTTTTCACTGAGCTTGGTATCTTTGGATGGATGGGTAGGGAGTGTTTTCATTGTCAGCTAGCTAAATCGTGACAAAACCCCACAGCTAGCTTTGATAGAAGATACATGTGTGAGGTTTTCTATGCATTGAAGTGAATGACTAGATTTGCTTGCTGTAGTTTCATTGTTGCATAAGCATTGTAGGAATCGTATGGAACCCCAGTTTGCAAGTTTGATGATGATTATCCTACCCTTTAATCCGTTGCCATGGCCCATGGCCAGTTGATGATTGATCATTGGATTGGATTCTTGGCTTTTTAACTTGATGAGGTAGTTAATTAAAGCGCTTAAGCATTCATCTTCATGTCTGATGAATGGTTATAGTGATTTAGTTAGCAGAACCAATGTTCTGCATAGACTTTTGCTGAAGTGAGTGTGGAATGAAATAGGTGTTTGGGGCAGAGTATGTCTCGCTGCATGTGAGGAAGAGCAACCGGGCAGCTTTCCATCTCTACACTGAAACCTTGGGATATAAAATCCATGATATAGAAGCAAAGTATTACGCTGACGGAGAGGATGCATATGACATGAGGAAGCAGCTGAAGGGGAAGCAATATCACCACCACCATCATCATCACCATGCTGGTGGTTGCTGTGCACCGGAGCCCAAATCCTTGGAAGCAAAACCAGAATCTAAATCTGAGGCAAAATCCAGCACCAAAGCTTAAGCGAGAGCGCAACATAATGGTGGAAGTTCTAGGTGAAGCGGGGATAAATCGTTATGCTCTTCTTATTGCTTAAACTGCATTGCCCGTTGTACTAGTTTGATTGTACTAGCAGTAATAATGCACTGGAGATTGGAGAATATGTATTGTTTTCATGTGTTTGCTAGTTGATGTCCATGCTAATACAGTACTATGTCTATCTCCTGTGTTGCAAACATTCTTTTGATGTAGTGATGCAATAGCAAACTGGAGCTCCTTTGGTTCTTCAGGTTCTGTGCATTTAGTTTGTGCATGGGTTTGCCACAGATTAATCTCCACTTTCGTTAATCTAACCAACATCTACTACATGGTTTCCATGGCTAGCTCTGCCATGATTGGCAGTAAGGGTATATAGCTGTTTATGTTTTTAAGATTTGCCAGACCGCAAATTTCACCCCATTGGGGCACCTCAAGGATTGAAGAAACCTTGCCACAACTCGGCCTTCCGATTGGTATTCCTCATGGAGAGGCAACATTCTTTGTTCTTGCTAAACCTTCTGAGCCGTAACCAATCACAGCTTTTCCTGCTGTGCTTGGTACTCGCCCCAGATGATGGCAAAGAAGACTTGAGTACAGGGAAGGATCACAGTTGGTTTTAAATATGGAGATCACGAGTTCTAATCCTAAGGTAGACTTCCCTTCCCCGCATGGCGCATACCCTTTTAGGTAATAAAATGAAGCTTAAAGGCATTGCAACCTGATAAAAAGGGATATGAACCTCAATATTATCAATCTACAACAAATATTTTAGAGACAATACCCTATCGTCTAGTCGGATCGAAAATATCGGGTATTTGACTCCAGTCAGTAAGCGTTTTTAGTAGTATGTAACAGTTGAATTATAGTCAAACCATGATTTTAGTACAAAATACTCTACTACTTGCTTTTTGACTTATGTCAAGATATTGATTCCTTTTGATACAATTTCACAATCTTTGTGTATAGCTAGTATAAAAGCGCAGTCAATGATGCATAAAAAATGTGGATCCCTACAGGAAGGAAATGTCCCAAAGAAGCAAGATAATTTGCTACATAATTAACCTCACAATATACATGCTCTATCTTGACTTTGCAAGGTTTTAACTAACCAAACGCCTAATCTTTGCTAAACACATGTAGCGTGGATGATAGTAAGTAATTGTCTCAATGCGTGTCTTACTAAATGAAGGACTTTCCTGGTCGACAATTCTTAGGTGAGCCTCAAACCTTGCACAATCACAGCTAGCTATATGATACGCACGCGCCACGCGGGTCGAGCTTGAAATTTCTAAAGTCGAAGTGCACCTACTCTGACCTTAACAACGACAAGTATACCAATACTAGTTTTGTAGTAAAGTGGTTTGGTTGTATTTCAAGGGACCCTTAGACTTACTATTACTTTGCTACGAACTACTATTTAATCAAATTGGAAGGTTGGGGGTAGAACTACCCCTAACCTAACTAAAAAAAACCAATCAAGTGGTTGGGAGACCGCTAAAGATGAGATGGTTGTCTAGGATTGAATCCCTCTATCTATAGGTTGATATGGGCGATAATCGAATGGTACTTTGAGATGCGGAGGTCACGAAGGTGGGGATGGACTTAATGGTTATGCAATTGATCCTCCCTCCAAGTTACGTTCACGGCCCAATGTCACCTAAACCAATCTACCAAACTAGGATGGTTCTACCCTCTAAATGGATTATATCCATCCGCACACAAGTCGGGTAAGTCGATAGTTAAGCGCTTACCTGACAGCCGTCAACTAGGTGCAAATCTAACTATAAGGGGATGATCACCTTGACTTCTAGTTAGATCTCTAAGTCCACCAATCAAGGTAAGAAGGATTCAAACACATCTAGACTCTAATAAGAAGCATTAAACACTCTAGTTAAACCCAATTATACAATAAATTAGTAAACAAGACAATGATAATTTCTCTATTACCTAGGTTGCGACTAAAGCAAATGGAATACAAACAATCCCACACCAATTGATGTTTATGCTAATCTTGACGTAAGGGATGGAACTCTCACCTAGGTTAAGAACAAACCAATCACAATTAAGTAAGAGATTCTTATGCACAACATCAATAGACATAGATAAATAGGTTCATAATCATGCGTACATATGACTCAAACTCAAACTATAAGTTGGGTTCATCTTTCCTAAACAACCATAGGGATTCAATTCATAGAGAGAGAAATGAAATACAAACTAAAAAGAGGGGAAATACTTGAAATCATCTTCTTCGAGTCTTGACCGTTTAATATAACGGTCAACTCTAGAGTTTAACAAATTAAATAAAGTTTACGGCTAATTCAGATCACGATGTTAAATAGTAAAATTGGCCAAAATGTTAAATATCGGAAAATTTCGGGTTAGCTAACAATGTTAACCATAAAGTAATTAGATTTAATAGAAATATTGGGAGATCTAACGGGCCAAACTATATAGCCCGCTCCAAATCCCCCCGCCAGCCCAATTAGCAGCTTCTCACGCAACCGCAACTCTTCTCCTCCCCAAACCCAAAGCTTACCTTCCCACTTTTTAATTTTTACTGCTCGTTCATTCTAAAAAAAAAATCCAACAACCCAAGACTCAATTGCCACCCGCCTTCTCTTCGTTTCAGATCTACCTCCAATTTCCAGTCTCCCGCAGCTCAACCGTTCGTATCCTCCACCGCCATCGCCGGTCGGAGAATCTCGACGCATCGTCCCTGTCGCCTGCGGCAGAAGGAGTGACCGCGTCCGTATCATAAAATTTCCCCCCCCGTTCCTCGAGTGATGTGGAGCTCGATCGAAAATTTGAAGCAAAACCTGAACAAGATTGCACTCGATGTGCATGACGATGAGGACGAGGAGCTCGAGATCTACGGTTTTGGTAATGGTGATGATCAGTCGGTATCTGGTCGCAGGAACTCCCACAGTTCGGCGCATGCCAAATCGGTTTCCCCGTCTCCCGTTGCCAACGGCGTTGATTCGCCCTACAACTCTCAGGTATAGTTGCTACGCTATTTGATTTTGGTTTTCTTTGTTTGTCTCGGTGTTGCGAATCTGATTTGTTGTTTTATTTTATGCGTCAATCGGCAACACCGTGATTCATCAACTTCTCTTTTGAAATCAGAACATGACTGGCAACTCTTGAATTGCCGTGTCAATTATTGCAAATCGGTTAGTTAGCGTGCGCTTGATCATCGTGAGATTTTCATAATAGATGACTGAGGCACACCCGGTGCTGTTTCAGACTGGATTCCGATCTTTCTTCTGTGGTTGTTGCAATGAGGAGCTCTTGTGGTCTTCTTTCAAGACTTTTAGTGATGCTCGGTTTCGGAGTTTCATACTATGTCACCCATTAAGTGAGATGTTTGAGCGCCAGTTCTGGTTGTCAAGTATTTCACTTAGCCATAGTTCAAAGATAAATGGGTTCATCGGTTGGCTCTCCCATGCTGTTGGTTTTTCTTTCCATCCCCAAAAGCCATGACCAAATTGAACGATTCCCTTGTTGCAGCCTTCTGCTTACTGTGACTCCAGGATTTGTCTATTCGTTTACCTAGAAGTCAGAGTGCGAATGTTGATTGAGATTCATGGTTCCTGTTCTTTTTGGTGCATTTGTAGATTGAACAGTACAGATCAGAGATTAGAAAGCTCCAAGAATCTGAAGCAGAAATCAAAGCATTGTCAGTCAATTATGCCGCTCTTTTAAAAGAGAAAGAGGTACTTACCAATGCACTACTGCTATGTTGTTTTCAAAGCTTTGAACTGCTGCACCCCTCCCATACATGTTTTGTGGAGCTTTGGCGCCTTTGCCATAACACCTGCATAGCATATATAATGGTGGACTTGGGAAGTGTGTATTATATCATGGAGCTATTGGGGTAGGTTTTTAATCAATATGGTAAATTGGTTTGATGGTCATATATCAGATGCATATAAAGATGGAATATTAATCACATCTATGAATACAAGCAGGTTTAATTTCCAGACCTGATAGGATATACAATTCGAGGTTGGTGCATGGGAAATCATTCATTTAGTGTGATTGTGTCTGTGTCATATCAGTAAAGAAATCATCGGAACAGCTTAACTTAGCTAAGCTTGAATGCTGAAATTTTTGAGTTTCATTAGCACATTTCATTGTTTAATTTTAGTGATTTTATGCAATATCTTGGTTCTGCATATGTTATTGGCTATACTTTGAAGAAACATTGACAGTTTCAGCCTCCTACTACTGCCTTGATGGTATAGGATCAAATTTCCAGGTTGAACCAAGAAAAAGGCTTACTGAAGAAAAACTTGGATGCAACAAAGGAAGCCTTGAACTCATCTAGAACTGAATTTTCGGGAACATCATCATCTAGCTCTAATGGAATAAAGGTAGTTAGTTGCTGTCATCCTACATATTGCGAGTTCTTGATAAGTACTGATAATATGTTCTCGGAACTGTACAGCGAAGTGGTGAACAATCGCCCAAAAGACCCAACAAATTTTCACCAAAGGAAAAAAATCGTTATTCCAGTTATCCTCATAATGGGGGTTCCTCAAAACAGGAGGTAGTAAGCAATGGGATAGCACATGGTCACTCTGACAATGGACAAAACAAATTCGAATTAAAAAGTTCTTCAGGGAAGGAGAAGGTAAGAAAGCCTCATCCTGATACTTTCCTTTTTGTAAATGACTTATTCTTTTTTTGGATTTAGTGCTTTGAACGGAGAAACATCTTGACAACAGACACTGAATGTCTTCTAGGAGCTTGCAGATTTGCTGGAGGAGAAAAATAAGTCCATGGAAGCTATGCAAGCTAGTCATGACCTGAAAATAAAACAGCTAACTTTGGAACTCGAGAAAGAAAGAGGAAAATCAGCAAATGTACAGCAAAACCTGCAAGGTACATTTCATCAGAGATTATCATTGTCACGTGTTCCTTATCTTCTTTTGTTTACGTCTACCAAATGGTTCACAATTTTGCCTGATATTTATTTGTTTATTCAATTATCAGAGGAACACAAGTTGAATGAATCTTTTCAGGAGGAGTTTAGGATGCTAAAATTGGAGAAGCACAGAGTGAGTAATCGCAGCTATATTAATTTCTTGTTGGTTGGTTATGCATGAATTATGATTTCATTTTCTACTTCTCCACTGTTTTTCTTTCGCTCTTTCATTTATCCACAGTTTAG